TAGGCTCCTGAGATAATTCAGGTGAGAGATGATGACTTAAAAAACATCACTAATGACTTTGACAAGAGTATTTGGGGTGGAGTAGTAGGAGCAAAAACTTCAGTGAAGTGGGTTTCAAAGCTAATGGGCATGGGGTGGTGAGAAGTATAAAATTCTAGGTATATTTTGAAGGTAAAACAAACAGGATTTGCCCAAAAGACCGGATAAGATGTATGAGGGAGCAAAAAGCAATTAAAGACCACTCCCAAGTTTTGGCTTAGGAGACTGGCTGGGTGGAATCACTGTTAACTTAGGTAGTTAAAATTCAGCAGGTGGGAAGGGAACTTTAGGATCTCAGTTTGTAGCTTGTAAACTTGAGATGCTTATTAGATATCCACACAGGGATGTCAAATAGGCGGATTGATACCAGGTTCTGAAGTCAGAGTAAGTCTAGACTAGAAAGAGAAAATTGGGATCATCAATACATGTAGTGCTAACATTTAAAGCCATGAGACTGGACGAGATCACCAAAGAAATGAGCACTATGTGGATAAAAAAGAGAAAAGCTCTAATGCCCGAGCTCTGGGTTACTCTAGCATCTAGAAGTCAGGCAGACAGCGAGAGTCAGCAAGGAAACTACAGGGAGCAGCTGAGACACAGAAAAGCCAGAGGGTGTGGGGTCCTGGGAACCAAGGAAAAAGGGAGGGGAAGAGATCTATGAGGTCAGATACTTCTGGAAGATCAGGTAAGATGAGGACTGAGAAATGATAATGGGTTTAGCACCTAGATCATTGGTGACTTTGACAAGAATTGTAAGCACCTCTTTCCTTTGGGTGGGTTTGAGAATGAACAGAGAGAAACTGAAGACAGTAAGTATAACCAGTTCTTTCCAGCATAAACAAATGAAGTGAATAAGTATAAACAGTTCTATAAAGGAAAAGAGAAAAACGAAGTGGGATCCAGAGAGTGTTTTTTATTTTCTTCTGTGTTGTTTTAAGATCAGAGTAATAATACCACATTTGTGTGCTGATTAGGTGAATCCCGTAAAAAGGAAAGAACTGGTGATGCCAGAGAGGGCAGAATTGCCTGAGACCCGTCTTTGAGTGACCTCGCAGATGTGGGATCCAGGGCACAAATGGGAGGGTTTGGACTTTAGCTCAAAGCATGGGCGATTCATTCATAAGAACAAAAAGAGCGTTTTTTCCTTTTCAGCCTTTATCCAACTTGTCATCTCCAAGGCCTTTGATTTGCGTTTGGCCACTGCCTTCTGATTCCTGTCCATTCCAGTCAGGGAGTCATAGGATCAGTACTCTCTCAACCTACTTCTCGTATTTACTGAAATAAGAGTGTGCAAAAGTTAGTAACTTAAAAATTGATGGCACTGTTGAAATGAGAATGACAGTAAAAGAAAAAACAAGTTGCCTAAGACATCCAAAATGATTGAAATATTTGGAAAACAAAACTTCCGAGATCAAGTATAAATTCTTCCATTTTCAGGACAGTCTGCACCTGCTTTCATTCATTTCTCAGTCCACCGTAATCTGGTTTTTATTTCCATAATTCCACCAGAACTATTCTCCTGAAAATTGCCAGCAAACTTTAAGTCCTCAAATTTAGCAGATACTTCTAGCCTATTTATTTGGATTCTGCAACTTTTTACTTGGTTAATACCCACTGCTTAAGTCTTCCTGCCTTGCCCTCTGTTACAGTATTCTCCTAAATCTCCCATGGCCTCTCCAGCCTGTCCCAGCTCTTCCAACACTTGTTCCTAGAATGATACTGTTCCAACAGACTTCTGTGCTGACTCTTCTTCACACTGTCTTTCTGGAGAACTGCTAACACTTATTATTTCCATGGGCTGATGCCTCTCCAGTCTGTTTCTCAGAGCATGTTTCTAGAGGCCTGTGAGGCAGCTCCAAGTGAGTTATGCCTTGAGTGTTTCAAACATACCATTTCCTCATCTGTCTTTCTTACACACACACACACTCTCTCACACACACACTCACACACTCACTGTCACATACACAGACACACACATTCACACTCTCACATACACTCACTCTTACACATTCACACACACATACACACACTCTCACATACTCTCACATACACACACACACACACACACACTTTCACACAGACTCACACACTCTCACACATACACACACACTCACACACACACACACACACACACACTCACATACACTCACTCACACACTCCAGTTGTTACCTTGGTTCATAGTACATAATCATCTCAGAATTACCTTTGACTCTTCTTTTTCCTTCACTATATTCATTTCTCTTCATTCCTCTTAAGTACCTCTTAGCTTTCCCTGTAGTCCTCCATCCTGCCTACCCTGTCTCTCACTTAGTCTGTGGCAATAGCCTCCTGATAGGGCTCTCTTTCTCCTGTTATACCATGTTACCCTGCTTATAATGATGTCGTTTACCTGATGAGCGCCTATTCATCTTTCGTGACCTCCTCTGTAAAATCTCTCTTCATCCTCTCCACACACATAAAATTTATCAGAACTTCTGCCGAGCCTTTACGGCACGTTTTATAGAACTGTATTTCAGTCCTTATATTACATTATATTCATGTGCCCATAACCCTATGAAGTATGCGGTTTCCCAGAATGACGACTGAATATTATTCTCTTATACATCTTTCTCCACCTTCCCCACCCCTCCCCCCAAAAAAACCCCAACTGCTGCTGGCACATGGTGTGGCCTTTTCTTTCACATTATCCACATGTGATAGGGTAAGTCAGCCTAAGTCCCAGCCAGCCTTGGTATCTGCTTGTGAGCTCTGGTTTGCTGACTCATCTGGAGCAAATGGTAGGAACAGAAAAGAAATATATCTGTCTGATTCATTACATTAATACCTGAACTTACTGAACTTGATAATGCTGTTCTCCAATGATCTGGTTGTCAATAAACACTCTAATCTAGTAATAAATAGCCTGTGGAATGTACCATGAAACTTCCTCCCTTTAAGCACTCTCTCCTTTGGGATGGGGCATACGCCTACAGTTCCCATTCCTAGTCTCCTTTTCTAAGTAGTGGTATTTTCTCTTTGTGTTGTGGTTACATTAAAGGAAGCATATAAAAGTCCGACTGTTGCATGCTCAGAACTAAAATGTGAAGTCTGTGTTGAGGGCGGGGGTAATATTTTGGGGAAAGAATATGGTGGTTTTAATAGGAGACTTCTTCATGGAACTGCTCTGGTTTCATCAAGCACTGAAACCGTTTTTTTAAAATGCTCTGTAACTGCTCTGGAGACACTGTTTACTTTTCTACAGAATGAGGTGGGTGAGTTAAATCAAGGACTGGCATGTGCTTTTACCAGCAGGGAAATTTGTCTTGAACCATGGTGAGTAGGAGACCTTGGATACTGAACTTTCGTGCTTATGCCTTTTGCTCTTCAGGCTACCCCACCCCGAGGTTCCATATGGTCGTGGAACCATATCATCCACCAACAATCCAGAGTTTGTGGAGGATCTCTCCCAAGGTCAGTTACTTCAGACTGAGTCCTCAAACACAGCAGAAGGCAGTGAACAGAGGCATGAAGATGAGGTAAGCGGAAGCAGCCCCTCCCGTTACTGGTTTCTGATGCTTCTGAGGAGACAGGCAGCATGGGAGTTGATCAAGGCTTCCAGCATCTGGCTTTCTTACATTCTGCAGAATTTTCTGTTTGACATAGAATCATATTAATGGTTTTAATGACATCAAGACAGGTAGACTTTTCCCCTATCTAAGAAATATATGCCTACAACATATTAGATACTCAACAAATGCTTGTTGAATGAGTGAATGAGTTCTTTAGTTCAATAAGTAATCAGTGAGAAGTCCACATGACCATCTTCAAGGCCACGCACTGCAGCCTGGAGTTACAGGTGCCCGAAGGTTCACACCACTTAACCAATCACTCTGCCTCCCGTCGGGGGATCTTTCCCTCACACAGAGGTTGCATGTGGGCCTGGGAAGTCATGCCCTGCTCCTCACAAGTGACTGATTACATTTACTGTCGAAGTTTTAAGGCACTCTTTTAGCCATAAGAGTACCACCACTGATTTTTATCTTTTATTTTGAAAGAGCTGATTTTTTTCAATTTGGCATTCTTAAAGGTTGTAACGAAA